TCCCTACAGGATTTGTTTTGGATCAGAGCTCTCCTGCATAATTAAAATGCATAGTGCATAAGTTCTGATACTGCTGCCTGTGAATTGCAACCCTTTTCGACCACGTAACAATTATAAAGCTCAGACTTCCTTTAACTGCAGCGACAAGTGCAGAAGAGAATCTAATGCTTTACTTTTAACACAGTTTGTTCTGGTTTTACGCCGTCGTTGTGTGTAAAGGCAGCATCAGTGCTATTGCAGAACTGAACTGGTTTCTGACATCCCTACGAAGCTGGCTCTGTGGTGGGGTTTTTTCTGCGCATGCACACAAGAATTTCTTGCTCTGTTACATTATGCAGTTTTCAGTGTTAGAGACAAAAATGATTGTAATTCCGTGGACTGCTGTTACTGCTCAGGCACTTGTTAAATTTTTCCATGCTGGAGCGTGGAGCACTGTTACAGCCTGTGCAGTGTGTGTTTTTCCTTGCTTATTAAATTTAACAAGGTAATTTCTTGTTTTCTCTTTTCTTAGTGCTTTTGTGACTAGCATTGAACTGATTTGACTGATTAAGGGGATTAATTGCTGTGCAAAAAGCTAATGAGAAAAAGGCAGTGTTCTGCAGAGATTGCAAGTGCAGCAATACATTCCCTGCCAGCGTTAGACAAGAACATGAGAAAAACTGGTTAGCATTACAAAAGCGTTAGGTGTTTATGTTAGGTGTTATTATGTTAGGTGGTTTTTAACACCTGTTTATGGTAGGTTATTATGTTAGGTGTTTTTCCAGTCATCTTGTAACATTTATTGTGCTTTAGCTGAAATGTGCTAGAGGAAAGTGAAGTCAGCACCTTTTCCTCTGATAAATAACTTGAAAACTGTAAGTACAGCTGCCTGTAAGGACGGGAGATGTGCATCCTGTCCTGCCCTGAATGCAGGGATTAGCAGCGGTCATCGGCTAGTCGGAGTGGAGCAATTTCTGTATTGTCATCTCGTGGTGACACTGGGCAAGGCACAAGATGATATGAACAGCAAGAAAGGGTCCAGTTGTTTAATTAAACCACACCTTTGGTAGGCCTCATTTGAAAAACAGTGTCCCTGGATATAATTGAGCTTCAGATCAGGATCTTGATGGGCACAGCAACTTCATGTTTGATGTTTGCTCTGATAAATACTGTTCAGGTGCAGGAGGTGTGAATATTGTCCATGTCTCATTTTAACAAACACTGGGATTTCAGCTGCCTTCATTCAACTGGGTGTGCCGTGTCTTGCCTTTTCATTCCTGTTCATGTAGGAAAGTTCTACCTGTCTGTAACTGTTAGTTATTTTGGTTTAACAATACTAATAAAAGTTTCCAAGGTTATTGTGCTGCCATGTGGTTCTTTTTCTGTTCTTTGGGGTTCTTTCAGGTTTTGTTCTTTTCTTTTTACTTGTTATTAACTATGTTTCCCATCATCAGACTGTGTTTGCGACTAGATACTGATAGAGCTACTCCAGGGAAGATGCTGCAAACTGGCAGACTTTGGGAGAGCTTTGTTCAGAAGAGATCAAGGAAAAAAAAATAATTTCATCCATCTAGTCATGTCGGTCATGGTTGTGAGAGAGCAGAATCGCCAGCAGCAAGGAGGCTGCAGTTTGAGTTCTGCACCTCAGGGTAACAGCAGTGCCAGCGTGCGGGAAAGGGGGCTCACTTTTGTGCGTTAACACAACTCTGTCCAAGCAAAAGCTTCATATTTCCAAGCCAGGCTCTTGCCAGCTGCAGGTCCCTGGTTTGTTCTGCGTGAGTTCCGTATCCTTGCTGCAGGCAGGAGAACTTTATATACTCTTTATAGGAGCTGCTGGAACAAGATCCTGCTTTACGTGGTCCTGGGGCTGTGCAGAGCCTTGTGTTCCATGACAGCCTGTGGCAAGGAGCTGAGGGGAGTGACAAACGCGTGCAGACCTTCAATTGCAAATTTGTGGTGTGATTTTGTCCGTGGTGGCTTGTTACCTGCCACTGACAAACAGGCTGGGGCCATTCCCTCTCGCCGTGGGCAATGGTTTGTGATGGTTCATAGACTTGCTCAATTAAATAAAAAGTAATGAAAGCTTGTCGGGCTGCGGCGGGGTGGTGGAGTGGAGCGAGCACACAAGCGTTTTTACACGGACGTAATAATACATCACTTTGGTTTGTAACGTGTGAAATCTCCTCAGCTTCTTGGATTTCTTTTGCTATTTTATCTGTCAAGCCAAATGGTGAGTAGACTGTGAACCATTTCCCTATCTTTCTGTAAATCTTAATGTGGAGAATTTTTATTTCTGTTGGTAGAGAGCCTTTCAAGTAGTCCCATAGCCTGTCTGCCCTCCTTATCGAGGCCGGAACGAGCAGTGAGAGGTTGCAGTTTTTCAGCTGCTTCTGCTTTTCCAGATTTAAGTTTAGCATGAATGTAAATCATCCAGATAACATAAAGCATGGCCACAAAAGCTGTCATTAACAAGAGAATTAAACAAGGACTAGTGAAAGGCAACAGAGGAGATCACAGGGGGCCCATCTAATGCTGCTTTTCAGCTTCCCTGAGAATGAAAGGCCAATTAATTAAATTAAAAGAGTGATACTGAGCTGTTCTAATTCCTCTCGGAGCTGCTAGTGCCGAGCTGTTCCGCGTGTAGGAAAGCAAGAGGAGGGAGGTCGGTCGAGAGATGTGGTGGGGCAGGGGGTGAGGGCAGGTGAGAAAAACAGATGGTCATTCTCTAAGCAGCCGTGTTTCAGCTCCCTTGTACCTGTGCCATACTGATCTTGGGTTTGGGATTTTTCGTTTTGTTCTTGTTTTGGGGCAGAGAATTTCAGACAGAGGAAAAAAACCCCCTCGGTCTCCCAAATCTCATCATAACCTGTGCCAGTCCAGATTGCCCTTCTGACTGCCCGTACTGGGGCGTGCACTGCGTGCTAGTGGGACAATTTAGTGAGGTGATGGACAACTTTTAGCATCGCTTCTCTCTAAGCCCTTCATGGGTTCGCTGTGATGGCAAAAGCTTTGGAAGATGGTGGGAGGAGGAGAGGAGCGAGACGTGTTTTGGGATTGTCTCCGTGGACGATGTGTGATAGAAATGGAACTGCAGAGGGGAGAGTGAGCCTTTAAATCTTCCTTTAAATCTTGCGACTGTGGATCAGGCTTATTTTGGAAGCAATTTAAGTGTTTGGAATCAAAATTTGAAAGACAATTAATTATGAAAGCAGACAAGGTGCTGACAGCATTTTTGAAGATAGAGGAATTGGATAGAGGAGAGTCTCGGGGGATCGCGGTCTGCAGCCTTGTCTAAATCCTGCATGTAGGAGCCTTATCCATAGGCTCCTAAATCGCATCAGCTGCATCGCAGTCCAGAAGTGTCATTTCAGCTGGTGTCGATAAACATTGCGTTTTGAGACTCAAAAGACAAAAAAAACTTCCATGGGGCTTCCAGTTAACACACCTGATGTTATTATTTTCTTATGGATTTTGGCATCTTTTGCTTTCTGTTGGTGTTGGACACTCGAGCAGTGGTGGCTCTGCTGACCCTTGGCCTCAGGGTCCACAGGGCCTGTTACTGCTGGAAATCAGTGGATTTAAGACCTTTCCTTATTGCCTTAAATAGCAATAAAATGCCTAACTTTGTGTCTTTGAGCTACGTTTTTTCCTTGCTGTCCCTTGCGATGGCACATGTGGCACTTGCCACCAGAGAAGTGCCAGCTGTAGTCACAGGGGGTGAAGTGTTTCTGTCTGGTAAAACAGATACGTGTGAACTTGTCCGTGTTCATTAATGTTTATTATCACAGTCTGCACTTAAACACACCTGCTGGATTTTTGGCCGTTTCACAGCATGACCTTGAACTTCAGAGCGAGACGGGGCAATGCGGATAGAACTCGGTCTGTCTGGGGATGGCGGATGTGGGGCTCTGTCTTGTGGACCATTTGGAGGTGGTGTCACAGCTGAGCGTGTTCAGCCCAATTCCGGGGCCAAACAGCAAATTGGGGAGCTTTGCATCCAGGGAAAACTACTCTGTTCTTAACGTTCTTAAAAGACTCCTGATTCCCCGAGGTGAGGGGCTGGAAGGGAGGGGTGATTCCTTAGGAGAGCGGAATAAAAGCTTGTAGTTGATCCCGTGATGGGGTGGCTCCTCTCCCATGGGAAGACAATGTCGTGTCTTTCTGGGGAGCAGCGTCAGGGCTGCTGGGGACCTCTCTAAGCTCCCAGAGCCACTCGTCTCCGGGGCGTGGGGAGCAGTGGCAGGGCCCTCCGTGCCCGTGTTGAACCAGGCTGGGTGGGACAGGCTGAGCCCGAAGCCGCTGGTGGTGCAGGTGGGATCCAGCAGCAGTTAGACAGGGTGAGACGGTGTCACCTGGTTCCGCAGCCCGTCTGCAGCGATGCTGGCGCGGGGGTCGGGTGCAGCCGGAGCAGTTTTTCCCGTCCCCCAGGAGTGGTGACCGCAGCACACTGTTCTCAGCAGACAGCTCTGAAACTGGGAAAATGCAGGTTATGTGTTGTGGGAGAAAGCTGGTGTCTGCCTCGAGTCCTGGAGGGAGAGGCTGCGGGGTGGAGGCTCCTCAGCCTCTTGTGTTTTGGGAGAGATCTGTATTAATTCCCACCCCAGACCTTGGCAGTTTATTGCCAATAAACATTTCATTCTGTTTGCTTTGTGTGTTCAATGAGCAGTTGGTGATCGAAAATTAAGTTGCCTGACTCCATAAAATCATGGAAGCAGAAAATGAGCTCTTGTTCGGGCTCGGAGGCTGCTCCCACCCTTCCCATTCTGTTCCCCAAAACCTTGCTGCTTATACAGCAACTCCCGGGTCAAGCCTGTGTCTGCACTTCCAGATAGGACAGACGGTTCCTCCCCGTTTTATGAGGCCATTAAGTTGTTCTCCAGAAGCCCCAGTGATGCTGCGGTTTCGTTAGCTAATGGCTTTCTCTCTCACCTGTTTGTTCATGAAGACGTAGATGATGGGATTGTAAACTGTGGCCGTCTTGGAGAAGTAGGAGGGCAGGGACGCGAGAGCTGGCTGGATGGCGATGTCCTTGGTGGTGGCCACCACCAGGGCAAACGTGGCGTAGGGCAACCAGCAGATGAGGAAGGCCATCACCATCACGATCACCATGCGCGTCACCTCCCGCTCCGCCTTCCGCGTTGTGTCCGATTACTGCTGCTGTGCCGCAGCCTG